TGTCCTGACCTGGCTGTGTCATGGGCTGTGTGTGAGCCCCGCCCCTCACAGCACGTGGCTGGCAGCCATAGCCGCCGGGCTAAAATGCTGGTCACATCCTTATGTAAACAAACACGCATGTAAACTGCAAATTATCGGGCTCAGAAAAGTTATTGAGTCCATTTTTATTTATCGTAAGATAAGTTAATTTATTGATTAATGCGACAGGCCCACACACACACACACACACACACACACACACACACACACACACACACACACACACACACACACACACACACACACACACGTAAACAGGACAGTTAAGATTAATACAATTCAAATCAAAGATACACATTTAAAATAAAAAATGAATTAAAATGAACATATATACATATTAGATATATTTACATGTGTGTGTGAAAACGGTGTGTATTTTGTGTCCAGTAATTGTGTCACAAAGCTTTATGTTCTTGTTTTCCTCTGGCTACATTGGTGCTGTTTGTAAAAGTACTGGTAAATACATTTCAAACTATATTAATATTAATGCTCCTTCATTAGCCAAACTATTCAAAAAAAATGTTGGTAAAGAATCTCCAAACTGTACTCCTCTCCCGATTACTATTGAAGTTGTTCTTGGATTATATTCAATAATTATCCATTTCTACCCACCTGGTAAACTGTACATAACTACACTACAAAACAACATTTTAGTCTTTATAAATGAATGGAAGAATATCAGCATAACAGTTTTCTATATTCAAAAGTGACGTCTTTGAATGTCTATAGCCAAAGATATACAGCTCACTATCACCGAAGATCAACTAACCTCAATGATTTATTTTTCTGACCTAGGGCCTCATCTTCGTGGTAGACAGCAATGACAGAGAAAGAGTGGCAGAGTCTTCAGAGGAGCTTCAGAAGATGGTTGGTATTAAATATGTTCAGCCTGACATGGACTGAATATTGTTCTTTGTGCAGGGATGAATTACAGAGAGCTTCATCACTTGGCATTATTATTGTGACATGCAGAGTTGTTGTCTCATGTTGTGACGTGGGTAAATCAAAGTGAATATAACGGTGCCAACCCTACATTGGATGACAAGCCTCTAAACCAAAAACAACAGGATCTGTTCATGAAGATATTGCGTGGTTAACCCATGAATTTTGAAATCATTGTGTAACCTTGTCGACTTCTACTGAGCACATCAACAATACAAGTGCCCGGTTGCCTTAATTCTCACTTGATGAACGCAGTACACTGAGTCAGTGTAACACAAAATGACTGAAGTAAACACTCCATGAAATGTCCCTTCAGCAGGTTATAATGTTTGCATTTTATTCATTGTAATCAAGTCTTTTTTTTAACCAAGGTAGATTTCTTTTTACCCTGGATTTTTGTCGATGCCTAAAACTATCAAATGTTTAAAACAATTTAGAACTGACTATTTTTCCTTCTAGCATTTTGAGTGTTTGAATGTATTGACCAACTGCTAAATAGGTCTGCAGGGCTTGAACCAGGGACATTGTAAAGCTATAGTCAGCTTCTCAGATCCCTAATATTAGAGCTGATGCACTAATCTACCGTCTGCCCCTCTAGTTGACGGAGGACGAGTTGAAAGACGCCGTTTTGCTGGTGTTTGCTAACAAACAGGACCTTCCCAATGCCTTACCAGTGAGTGAGCTTACAGAAAAACTCGGCCTACAAGCCCTCCGCAACAAAAATGTAAGTAAACATGCTCCGTATACACCGGAGTGTAATTTGTAATCATGTGCAGAGTTGCATTTACATTTCTTCCTATGTAACTCACGCCATATCCTCTTTGTCCCCACAGTGGCACATCCAGTCAACCTGCGCCACCCAGGGCAGCGGGCTGTACGAAGGACTCAACTGGCTGTCCGAGGCCTTGACCAAGAACTAAAGAAGGATCAGCTGGAGAGATGAGAGAGAAAGACTGAACCCAACAGGACGGGAGAGAAGGCACAGACATTCAATCCAGAAACATTTGGCCTTCCAGCACCAATGTTCGCAAAAAGGACAAGGCTGGAGGACAACATGTAATCATCTTTGGAACATTTTTAATTACTTTTTTTCCTTCTTTTATTATCAATGATATTACCATATTATCTTTTGACATAGTCTCTATTTTTCTCCTATCGTTCCTAAGCTCTTTAAACGGTGATATGTTGTAGTGACACATTCAGTTGCATGATGAGCAAATGGCCCGTTAGGGAAATGTAATGCAAACAATGCAAAGAATAATGGGAGGTGTTTTCCACTCTAAACCCTGGCTCCTGTCGAGGCAGCATTTGCATTAATTGACCACTTTTATAATTTTTGGACTTTCTTACAGCCATTGTGGAGCCTAGGTCGGGGGTATGATAATATACCTAGGGCTTCGAGAAGGACAACTTGTCGGCTGCCTCAGGCTGTTCCTCTCTGCATCCCCTCGTGGATATTTGACTTCCTTTGCGCTGCACTGCTATGTCTCATGCCAACTCATTTCTGTGAAGGCTCGTAGAATGAGAAGGATGACGATTGCAGCAATTAGTTGGTAGTGTGAAACCACGTGGCCTCCGAGTAAATGGATCCAAAAAGGAACTTTGTGCCTTCTGGTCCTTCGAAATCACAAAATCTGTGTAATCCTTTCCTTATCTCATTCTGAGATCACTTCTGCTTTTGAAAGACAAATAATGGGTTGAGACATTTCCTTTTGTTCTGCAATGTGTGCTGAGGTTCAGTAAAACCCCCTTTCCGAGTGTAGATGGCTTCTTTACAACTTGAACCAGGTTTTCTTCCTGTTTAAACATTTGTGGATCTGCACTCCTCTTCCTCCTTTTTCTGATGGCTACCATGAAGAAGGTTTTGATTAAATGTCACTTCTTCAATTTACTTTAATTTTACCCTAAAACGAGGAAGGAAGCGTCTTTTCAGTTTTCACACGACAATGTTGTGTGACACAGTAAAGTAGCATGTTTTTTGTTGTTGTTGTTTGAGTTTGTTGTACTTCCTGAAGGCTAATACTGTATTATAATCTTAATGTTTCTACCCCTCTTGAAATACAAATACAAACCTGGCCTTTAGTTTGTTTTTGTGTATACATTCCAACCTATGCTTGCAGATCCTGGAGCTGCCACTCTTAAAATTAGCAAAATAATATTTTACAAAAAAGCTCTGAATAAAGACAATGTTTAAAAAAGAGTATGCGTTTTGGAATCCACTCATTGTTGATGACAGCAGTTGTCACTTTTCTCTGGACTTTAAGTTGTTACTCATTAAAAGCATCGTGAAAAAAATCAGATCATCCTTACTACATTTTCAAATGTAGTTTCATAATTTCCGGCTCAAAAATTCCAGTTGTCTTAAATCAGGAAATGAGCATTCCAAGAGGAAGTGCTGTTTACTTCTGAGACTAAAAAACGCTCTTCATACAGAAAATAGACTGATTATAAAAAAACTACAATACTCCAAACTAATCTGAGACGTATTCAGGGTCAGTGGGGTGGAGCAGTTTGAGAATCCTGAACCCTTTTGTGTTTTTCTCCAGACTCCAGCTTTGTGGTTTTATCAAAACCACTCAACTTCCTCAAATGTCCAGCTTTGTGGTAATATTCATTTGTTTAAGGTAATCTGCACCACGAAAAGCACTGCTTCTTTATGTGGAAAATAGCCCTTAGCAGGTTAGCTAAGCTATTACTTGCTCAGTAATTCAAAGGATATGGGTGTGAATAAGCTTTACTGGAAAACAACAATTGGACAGTTGAAAGCAATATCCCTGAAACGCCCATCAATACTATTCAGAGGCAGCAAGCCAACATTACCCAACATGCAGCTGACCATTGTTCTGACTTCTAATGACATTAAATGATTAAGAATGGCAGGGACAAGCCACCATGTTAATCTACATAACTAAATACATTAAAGGTCCCATGTCATGCTTTTCCGGTTATTACCCGTCCCCTTGTGTGTTATGAAGGTTTTTATGCATGTAAACGGTCTGCAGAGTCACAAACCCTCAAAGTACACCCTGTAGCGAGTAAAACTCTAACACAGAAAAGACCTGTCTATGCTGCCCCAGAACGCCTCTTAGGAGATTTCTCTTCTTCCATTGCTTTCTTCCTGGGTACAGTGACGTGCCCATACCCAAATGGACCAATCCGTTGAGCCGTTACGTTAAGTCTGTGGATTGGTCCAAATGGACCAATCTGCGGACTTCCTCACACACACACACTGAATCGTGCGAGCACACACACAAACTCCCTGCCAGGCTGCGGGTGTGAGTGTGTGCTCTGGCTGGTTTCGAGCTGGGTTTCGATGTGTCTCGCTGTCTCTCAGACGGCCAATGGGCTCACAGGGAGGGGGAGGGGGGGCAGGAGCTCCAACAAGCCGTTTAGGAAAGAGAGTGAATAATAAACATACTATACAGAGATGCTTTATGAGAAACCAATGTGATTTTGGAAAATTGCACAATATAAATCTATTTTAGTATACCTCAACAATGGAATTATGATCAGTAGAAATGGCCATGACATGGGACCTTTAAGGTTGTAAGGTGCCTTAAAGAAACAAACTGAGGTAATGCTGGTCAATTTCTGCACAGCAGGGGGCGACATGTCCCACCATCAGACATGGCAACAAACAATAAGCTTATATCTGCCAGTTGTCTGACAAAACCTTAAAATGAAGACCATAGTGTAAAACTAATTTAACGTATTTTAGGAAGTCAGGTTTTCTACTACTTTCAACTCATCAATGTTTAGATAGTTGCTAACAGCACTGGTGTGTTTTGACCACATCATCTTTTCTTTTGTTATTATTTCTATATTACAATTTAGAGTAAACAAGACTCCATTGGTGATTCATTTATCATTATTATTGATAGATCTGAAACTTTATCGGGTGTCAGGTTATAAGCACCTTCCTAAATTGTTCATGGATTAAGGTATAAGCTTTATATAATTGGCTTGCTATAATGTTTGAATGTGTGTTCTAATGTATTTATGACAGCTAATCAGGATTACTGGAGCTGTGGAAACACTGCACAGTGTGTCCTGCTGCCGGAGGTACCAATTCCCTGTTCTTTTAAACTCGGAAACAGTACATAAGATTTACAGCTTCACTGCCCAATAAGGTAATGTAAGATTTAAACATGGTATTGTATTATATTTATAGTAGTTTACAGCTATTTTATTTATTCTTTGCATTCTTTATATTTTCTAATGTCCTTTCCAGACCTACAGGCTTTTTTTTTTTTAAACAATCTTAAATTTAGTATGAAGACTCATTCACAATATGCAAAATTACTGCAAATGTGCATGACCACATACATGTCCGTTCAAAATCTGTGTCTGAATCAGAATCAGAATACCTTTATTAGTTCCACAGAGCCAAAGACAGCTTAATGTTACCTAAGTACAGTAGCATGCATATACATGGCTCACATTGATGTGTCTTCTTCTGCAGGATAATGCCGACCTTGATACCAGTACCACAGCCCTCCTTATCCCAGGCCAGGGAGAATCTGGTGAATGCTTTCCCTCCCAGGCTCCTCTGTCTGCTGGCCTGCGGAGGAATAGGTTGCCGCTATGAAGGACCAGAGTGTTGGAAATTAAATCAACAGGTCATTCGAGGCATCTTCTCCTCCTGGTGAGAGGATGTGATTGAATCTCATAAATGTGGCTGTATTTGCTCCATCAAAAACAATAAGCGTACATTTACAGAATTGTTTAACGTCTTGCTATTGCAGGGTGACAGATGACATCATAGCCATGGCACGGCCATCGAGTCATCTAATTAAGAAGTTCAAAATCATAGAACAATTTCAAAGGTAATCGGATTTGATTGTTATCTCTGTAATGTTTGTGTGGTGTGCATGATACATGAGAAGCAGGTGTGACAACGTAATAATATATACAACCTCCTGCCCGCTTACATGTTAGGATCCAAATTACATTTTTGTATTTTTGTAATCATTAATCTTTTTGTGTGATAAAGAAATCTGACATTGCTTTTTGGTTACAATGAGTAATACCTTCAATTTAGGACATATTAGATATTTATTGTCACAAGAAATATTGCCTTTAAGACAAAATCACATCACTAGTGTGTCCACCGTCTTCTTCTTAATTTATGACTTTGTTCCAGGTTAAACATCAGATCAATCATCAACATGCAGCTCCCTGGAGAACACGCTCACTGTGGACCTCCCATAGAGCCTGACAGCGGTTTCACGTACTCCCCACAGACCTTCATGGACAATGACAGTGAGATTGTGATACATTTGATTCAAAAACTGTTTGCCCTTTTTATATCTGAACAAATTGGGACATCTAGATAAACATTCAAGGTTAATAAATATGATCAGAAACAGTTATAGTTTGAGCTTATACTGAGTTGCATTGTTTGTGTGGTCCTTCGTGATACAATGGCTTACAGGTAATCCCAATGAATGTCAGCTATGATCCTAAATGCAATCATATGTGCACATATTTGTATGTTTGCAGTTTACTTTTATAACTTTGGGATGCAAGACTTCAATGCGTCCTCCCTTGTTGGTTTAATTGACGGGGTGAAGGTTCTGGCCTTTGCACTGAGCGAAGGAAGAGTGGCCGTGCACTGCCATGCAGGCCTGGGCAGATCAGGTATGTATAAACAAACACACTGTATCTAGTATGTAAACACATGTGAATATTCAGTGCGTGTTCTTGCTGCTCAACAGGCGTCCTGATAGCCTGCTACTTGATTTACACCCTGCGCATCAGCCCAAGTGAGGCCGTTCATTATGTGCGGATCAAACGGCCACACTCCATCCAAACTCGGGCCCAGCTGAACCAGGTGTTTGACTTTGCTCGCCTGCTTGGCTCACAGCTGGTTCAATACCCAGACCCTCGCCTGCGGCACGGAGACCCTTTCAGCCTGCAGCTGCACCTGAACAGACAGGCCTTACTGCTGCATGGCCAGGAGGCACGCACCCTCAAACAAACACCAAAGGTCTGGACCTTACATTATTTATTTGCCATTAACACAAATCACTGCACATTAGTTTAACTGCAGTTTTACTTGAAATAGGTGGTGTACCTCCTGTGTGTGTATCTCTCCTGCTTAGCCCTGGGTCTCCCTGCCCCTCCAGAGATCCAGGCTGAGCTGGACAAGAGGTCAGCACTGAGGAGCCTGAGCAGGACCGTGAGGGAGACCCTGGTGTCGAAACAGTGCTTGCCCTTACTGAGAGAGTGTCACCAGGGGCCAAGAGTGAGTTTAGGATCGGTGTCCTTCTGGGACGAGCCTCTGGGCTTTTTGACGAGGAAGAGAGAGGTGCTGCAAGACAAACGCAGCTACAGTGACTCTGACCTCAGCAAGATCGCAGTAAATCAGGTCCAATTCTACTTTGTTTGTCCACAATTACATTCTTCTTTTGTAAATCAAACTTAGGCTTTTCTCACTCTGTTTGATTCTCTTATGAAGGATCTGGAGTTGAGTCCATACTGCAACTCAGAAGCTGGAAATGAAAGACAGGTTTGTGTAAAGGATCTGACACAACCTGATCTGAGACCAGCTAGTCCGATCCTTGCCAGCATCAAACAAGGCCTCCAGCCAACCAAAATGGAATCTCAAGCACTCAACCTGCCAGTATCTAGCATGACATCAAGCAAGGACTGTGCTCTGAGGTCAAAGTGCTCAGCTAGAAAGGCACTTCCCAAATACAGCTCCAACATTGAGGTAACTGAGATTATTATTACAATAAAATTAAAATAATGAAAACTCTCATGTGAATGTGTCCAACATTTTGTTTGTATTTCACATAAAGTTAAGCAGAAATCTACATAATCCAGGCCCAGCCTCAGTTGCTGTTGCTAAGGCATTGGCAGATCATTGTCCACGGGAAGAAAACATCCTGCAAAGATCAGCTCTGCTGCAGGTGAGAAACACTGGTTCAAAATCACGACATCTCACTTTAATGTTGAGCTCTGATGAATACTTTCACCCACTTTTTCAACAGGAGGAACTGAACAGTAGTGACTGTGGCTGGGCTCTGCTGCTCACTGAGTCAGATCCTCAGGTTCTCAGCTGTCTGTTGTGGACCTGGCTGGAGAGGTTAAAGGTCAGTGGCAGCAAACAAGAGGTCATGATTACAGTATTCAAAAGTTTTATTGTCATATGCACATAAGCTACAGTGTAGAAATGGCAGTGAAATTCTTATGACCCGAGCTCCTCCAACAATGCAACATATATAATAAAATACAAAAATACAAATAAAATACAAAAATAGTGCAAGAAGTCCATATACATGTGAAAAGAATATGCTACAAGAACAGAAGGTGACATTAAATATTGTACATTAAGACACAATTAAATACGGTTTATTGCGGTGATATTACATGACTACATTTGATGTAAATAATACACACTTTGAAAAGAAATGTTTCCATCTTTAGGTAAAGATTGTTCTCTCGGTCTCATATCTGTTTGTTTCAATGTCACCCAGGAGCCTGTTCTGAGTGCAGAGGATGTAGACAGGTTGTGTTGTGGTGCCAACAAACGGAAACCTCTCAGTGTGCTCAAGAAGGTAAAGAAACACATGTATGATAAGTCAGCTTTGACTCATGAGTATTTTTCTTAAGAAACGTTTATATTCTTAACCTACAGTAGTTGGCATATATTTTATAAGTTATTTGAAATGTCCCTGCAGCCACAGAGAGACACCATCTCCTGCCTCCTGAGCTGTGTGAGCACCGTGACCAGCCTGTGTCCACACAGAGAGGATGCAGTGCTGCAACGACTGCTGCAGGCACTTACAAGGGTAAGATACATGCGGAGTCACAGTACGCTAAATGTGTGCATTTCTATTAAAAACGTTTTAATATCAGGGTGTATATTAGTTCAATAATAAGCCTTTTTTTTAAATTACATTTTTTTAACAGTGCCCCCATGAGGAAGCTTCGAGCCTGGCAACATTAATGAAGGTCCTGAAGGCGAGTTTAAGAGAAACCTCCCACAGCTATCTCTAAAGAGACAGCAACACCAATGTTCCACTTTGAAGAGCAGAGTCCTTATTATTATAAAAGTTGTAGGTGTACTCATACTTTTACAAACTTATACCATTCTCAGTTGGATCAATGACTGAACATATGAAAATTGCTAGTGAAAAATAGAAGTCTTAGGTCATAGTCATAGAAGTATTGAATGCATTTACAAGTAAAATCATTCCATTTTAAGAAGAGCAGATGCAAGGGTAAATGCTTTTACTGTCATTTTGATATAAAATGATTTTTCTACGGCAAGTGGGGTCTTCCTTGTATTTTTCTGTATACGGCGCACAATCAAAAGGGTTTGCCCCCCCTGATTTAACCCATTGGCCAGTGCTGCATATTGTTATGTAACAATGGCTAACATTTAAATGAATCCCTTACATCATAATTCAATGACTACACTGTTACAATTTACACTTTACATTAGGCTAAATAATTTGTTCATGTATACTTTAAATAGTGTCAAAGTTACGGTAATGTAGTACTAGCAGATTAAATCCAAACCGTCTGTGTGTCAACAGTCTGATCTGTGGCCTATTCACCCTTCCAAGCCTAATAAATCATTGACACCGTCTGCATACTGTGTTTTCTGTAATAACATATTGGGCATTCCTTTGAACTGCAGTTGACACTCACATTCATATTAAACGTGTCAAAGAGTCGTCTCCATGGCAATGTTGTCATAGCACTAAACAATCCGTGTTTGGGTTTAGTACACATGCTGAGTTCCGTTCATAATACCCATAACCTCACAGAGAGAGAGAGACTCACAGCAGGAGCAGGATATGAGGTAAAGTGCTTTTTCCATTTGTTTTAGTCAGTAACTGAACTAAACTGAACGCATGTTGATGGTTTGTATGCACTTTGTAGACTTCTTGTGGTTTTGTTACAGGATACTCTGGGTGGTTTTGGTTAAGCATTTGTTTAACTTTACCCACAAATGACCAACAGTAGTCCTCTATTCAAGCATATTACCTTGTATTTGAACCCAAATAAGTATTACATGAAATTGGTGACATTGAATGCTTTATTCACAATATTACAATGTGGACCGTTTCTCTTTTTGAATACATTGTTATTATAATTAAGATGTGTACAAAAGTCAACTAAAATCCATTACACAACATCATTTAAAAACAATCACTGTTAGACTGATCTGACTATTACTAGATATCGATTTGTTTTGTTATCTTTTAGGTGCTAAGGGGGAGTGTTTCTTATGTGTGACTATATCTAAAAACCATGTTGATGATTTATTTTCAACCTAAGTTTTACAAAAACTTTCTATAACTTTCTAGTGCTCTAAATCCAAATGAACACAGGTTGATGTTTATTATTATTATTCAAAATCTATCACTGTCATTGACAGTCAACACTGCTGCCCCTGGTACTATCACTGAGCAGCCGTTTAGAAGGATGCAGAATATTTGAATAATGCACTTCTATCCATGCTTTAACAGCACCTACATAATATATCTAAAAGCAATAACTCACAGCTTTACCATAATACCTTCTATGTAGCTATATAGCACCAGACAGACCTGTAAGCAATTCCATTGAGAGATATATTTGTAATTTAGAAGATATGTGTTGAAATACTTTCAGAGGGCAAGTGTGCCGAAAAGCATTAGTGTTATTTCTATAACAGACTGGCCAATATTCATTATTGGCTCTCTTCATGCCTGTAATGATATTTTCTAAGCCACAATCGACTCATGCATGACAGATATTTTATTTTTTTTCCCATGTTCAAAAGCAATGGTAAGTGTGCACATCGTTCTTTTTGAATAAATAAAAGCACATTTTAATTATGCTTTTGGTTATGATACACCTCTCTCTCAGGGAAACATCGAGTGGTGAAGCTCTGGTTGGTACCTGGAGGCCTCACAAACCAAGAGGGCCCATAGCTGCCCTCTACGGTAGTCCAGGTCCCAAGTATGCACTCCCTGGACTCACTGGTACAACCGCCATTTTGTTTAAGCATTAACCCCCAAACACCATTATTATGATTAATATTATTATTACTCACATTGTTGTCCCTGTTTCCTTTATAAAGGTGCTTCGAAACATGACCCTACAAAGAAAACAGCACCGCAGTTTAGCTTTGGTTCACGTCATGAAACCAAGACTGAGATCACCCCTGGACCGAGCTACCTCATCCCCTCCAACATCACCAGAGTAGGCCGAGACGGCCCTCCTGCTTATTCTCTCTACAGCCGTCCAAAGGATCCAAAAATATTTCAGGCCCCTGGACCAGGTCAGCAAACCCCCTTGCACATTTGCAAAAAATGAAACAAGGCTGATATCAAATGTCTGACTACTCACTCAAAATTGAAAATATGCTGTTCTTGTCATGATGCACACAATCATTTGAGATAAGCACTTTCTGTGGCTTTCAGGCAAATACTCCCCAGAAAATGCTGGAAAGTCAGTCTTCCACTCTGCTCCTGCCTATTCTCTGTCAGGAAGGGGCAAAGAAATCAGCAATATTCAAACACCAGGTATGTATTTGGTGTCAACTTCATTTAAGCTGTGGGTTACTATGTTTGATAGCATATCTGGAGGGGTGTGGCGCAGTGGATAGAGTATTGGTGTTAGAATCAAGGGAGCACAGGTTCGAACCCCACTGCAGTCAGCATGTCGTTGTGTTCCTGGGCAAGGCACTTCACCCCAAATTGCTCCTGTGGGGATTGCCCACAGTGTGGAGTATGCAAGTCGCTTTGGATAAAAGCGTCTAACAAGTAACAAGTAACATGTAATGCATCTCAACTTCCCCTGTATGTTGCTCATGCTGCAGGTCCAGCCTCCTACTCTCTGCCCCCAGTGCTGGGAAACAACACTGTGGACAAATCTGCAGCTCCCTCTTTTTCTCTTTATGGCCGCAACAAAAATGGCAACTTCCATGAGGACCTAAGGAAGGTACATATAAGTGTCAAACACATTTCTTAAACAATCAATCCTGAAATCCTGGGATAGTTATTTTCAATAGTTGTGTTCCCCTCCAGACTCCAGGCCCTGCTGCGTACAAAGTTGTGGACCCTAGTGTTTACAGGGAAAAACGTCCCCAGATCAGCATGATAGGCCGCAACTTTCCACCTGGGGTATCTACAAAGACTCCAGGACCTGGTGCACACTATCCTGAGATGGTAAGAAACCACATTGAAGATTAAATAAATATATCACAAATATGTAGCATTTCCACTAACATTTCTCTCCACCAAGGTGACCTTCACAAGATCCAAAGCTCCGAGCTTCTCTTTTGGAATGCGTCATTCGGATTACATCACACCCCTCATTGTGGAAAAGCCTGAATAATATCTTGTTGATCTCTTGTTTGAACTGGAATTCATCATGAATAAAGCAGAAAAAGCCCAATGAAGTAAAAAAAAAAGCAAGCTTTGATCCATTGTTTTTTTGCCACAGTTAGCTACTTATTGTATTAGCACTAGTTTGTCAGGGTTGTATCCACAATCAGTATTTGAAGTAAATTATACTGAATTTGACAAAGGTTTTAAGAGTAGTAGCCTACATTTGAAATTTCTAATAATGTAGTATGATCTTATTTTAAAATAGATATTTGCTATTTGTTGTCTAAGCACAATATTTAAAGATTTGTTTCGCTTTGAAAATAAATTCTTTAGTATTGTAATTTTAATTGGAAATAATAAAACACGTTAAAATTGCTTCTCCATTTTACCAAATGTAAGACATTAATTCCTAAAATATGTGCAGCATATGTGCTTCAAGTACATCTCTTGTGGTAACAGGTAGAGGAATGATTCGAAATTATAATTTGTATAATCTGACTGCATGACACACTTACTTCCTTTTTGAATACTTATTAATTTGGTCCTGCAGATGCAGAGTTGACTACAATCCTCATTCTTCACTGCCATTGAAAGCAAATGGTAAGAAAAAGGTTTAGAGCTACTATAAATACTATACAGGAGGTGTGTCCTAATTAAACACTTTAGTGATACAATGCTGCTACTACTCACTGGGTGAGATCACATGGAAGCTATAGAAAAAGAAAACAAGATTTTGCAATAAATAAAGAGCTGAAATTTGGGGATAATATATGAAATAAAAAGTGGAATAACAAATTATATAAAAACAGATGTGTCCCACTCTTCGAGCAAATCTGCAAAGATTTTGAGACAGTAGGTCACATGACATTGCGTAGATATACAAGTGGAATACAATCCAGTAAAAAACACATTCATTAGTAATACTTGGAATGACATGGGAATCAATGAGTCATGTGACATTGAAGCTTTTGAAAAATAAATAAAACGATCTTCTATTAAAATATGTTTCAAATAAATTCATGACACATCAGGAAATTAAAATAGCTGTACAATTCTCATAATTTTGTTCTATAATTGGGGCAAGTTAGCACATAAAAAAAAATGCATTAGCCTTCTTGACAGGCATTGTAAGGGCAGCAGGAACACTGACAACGAGGTCCTTCAGGCGTCCCCGTTGCATAGAAACGGAAACCTTCGGCGACATCATAACACATCTACAAACTTTAACGTCTGGATGCCTAGATGAGTGCATCCACAACCGGTTCATTGTGATTGAAGATCAGAATATACCCAAGACAATCGGAGACATTTTGATAAGTGCTCTAGCTTAACAAATGCTAACAAGGCTACTAGCTGTTACCTAGCTGTGTTCAGTGGTCCAGGGTTCACTGTGTGTACAGTAGCCTACTCAAAAGAGACTTTAAAATACACATGTAAACAATTAACGTCTCTGGACTATTCTCAGGTTTAGTTAGCAACCGTTTAGTATGTGAGGACAAACTAACCAGTGTAATGAGTGATATCAAGCCGAGCCCCACGATGTTTACCTCAGCTAGCTAACACTCATTCTCTGTCGTCGGATGCTAGCTTCCGTAGATCAGCTGTTCAGGTAGTTATCAATTAAACTGGGTGAGAGTTGACTCATTCAATCATTCTAGTCAAATCAGTTAACGGAAAAAAAGTTGAAATGGCTGGCGACGCTGGCAGCATCCCTGAACTGGACCAAAAGAAGTACGATTCAGGCGAGCAGGTGAAGATCATCTGTCTGGGAGACAGCGCAGTCGGTAAATCTAAGTGAGTATGAGCTGCTGTAAGCTTAGGCTCCTTGAAGCCGTTTTGTGTAAAAGCTTTCCTTTTTCTTGTAACGTTCATTATTACATGATTGTTGCGTTGACACAGACTGTCTCTCTCTATCGTAGGCTGATGGAGAGATTTCTCATGGACGAATAGTATCCTTTTGCAGTTTATGAAATCTGAAATGAAACATATCTGTGTCAGTCATTCGTATTCGTCCTGCCATGGGCATTGCATAAACGTTAAAGGTCACCTAATACTCTTTTTCAACAATATATTATAGGTCTCAGATTGTAGCATGCCATATACCCCTCTGTTTAAAAAGTGTGGATTCCGTTTGTGTAGCTTTAAATGCAAATGGATTGGTTTAAAAACAAACACATAAGCCGCATTCACACCGCAGGACTTTCCCAGGTACTTTGGTTCTTTAGTTCCGTTAGTACCAATGATGTCGCGTTCACACCGCCGGGACTACTCAGTGCCGGGAACTCTTTTGGCCATTTTCAGTCCCTGCTAGAGAGGTGGTACGAACCTGGTGATAAAAGAGTGCCAATTTCTATTCTATTTCTATTGGCTGGGCGAATTGAAAACCACGCCCCGTTAGACTCTGATTCCGAACCAGCATTGCACTTACAGCATCCGACGAGTGGGTCAAATCCATAGGTCAAATCCTTAGTTGGCTGCAATAACCCAGTTACAAAGCTGTATAACATGAGCACAAAGACAACAAGCTCAGTGAACTCCATCATGTCTGAGGTCGGAAAGTAAACAAACGCCTCATGTACAGCGGGTGGGCTTTATACCCCCTCCACCCATCGTGTAGTTCTTCTTCTCTCGTTTTTTTTTGTACTCGCCGTGAAGTGGTTTTGCGGCCTGCCAGTAAACCCAGAGAAGAAGAAGACGAAGTGACGTCAACGTAATCTTGCCTCAGGGAAAGTACTGCGGTGTGAATGCGATTGGCACTAGCCCCCTGGCGGATTCAGTGCCGTGGTACTTTAGTACCGGCACTAAAGTACGGCAAGTCCTGCGGTGTGAAAGCGGCTAATGGTGCTTTAGGAGGAGATTTAGGTGATAAGGTGGGCGGGTGTTACTTTGGCTGGTTATTGGCTAATGGTTACAAAACACAAACAAATATTATGACATCACAAAGTGGCCAAAACCTGATCAGCTCATCTTCAGACAGGTTTTTATATAAATGGATCAGGACAAAAAGAGAGGAGATCTTTTTTCCTGAAACTCACCAAATCTCTTAACACATATTAATGTATGAAAAAGTGGATTTTGCGTAATAGGGGACCTGTAAAGTCAAGCTGGCATGCCTACAATAAGCAGATATTTTTTCCCCAGAGAGCTCCTTAACTATTTCTTCAGTCGTCCCCAGCAGTTGTCAACCTATGCTTTGACTCTCTACAAACACACAGCCACTGTAGGAAATAAGACAGTAGCCATTGGTATGTATTTAGAAATGATTCTGTTCTGCTCTCAGTGACCACAGGAAATACATTCACCAATTTGAAAATCAACTGTCAAGTTTAAATCAACAGGAGGTGATTTTTGTTTTTGATTCACAGATTTCTGGGACACCGCTGGTCAGGAGCGATTTCAGAGCATGCACCCCTCGTACTACCACAAAGCACATGCATGCATAATGGTAAAACACACGCTTAGTTTCCGGTGCTTTTCAATATTCATCTAGCCTGCACTTTGTGGCTCCCTGACAGGCATTTTAGGGGAGGTAGAATATCAAGTAACTATTCAACAAATTCAGAAAAGTGACAAATACATAATTTAGCCCTCACAACACTGTGGAGAGGCTGTGATCAAATAACATGTTGCATTCTTGTTAAGTTCCACCTCTTAAGATGCAGATGGTGTTTCCCTCACAGATAAGTCAGCGAGGACTTGTTAGATGATTGCTGGAAGGCAAAACTGTCTCTGTCTTCAAAGATGCACTCCTTTGTTAACCTGTCTTCTTTCTCTTAGGTTTTTGATGTTCAAAGGAAGATCACTTATAAGAATCTGGCCAACTGGTATAAGGAGCTGAGAGAGTTCAGACCGGAGATACCCTGTTGTGTGGTGGCTAACAAAATTGATGGTAAGTCATCACAAAGAGTATTCAACTCTTTTATCCATCTATGTTTGACCAAAAACCAACACACTTCTACTGTAAGTTTAATATGGATAGTTACCTCCAATCTTCTCCTTTAATGTAATTAGGATAAATAAACATGTTTTTATTAGTTTGCACACTTTGTCTACATTACTTTATCCTTTGATTAATTACACATTCAATTTACAATTATAGTTGCGAACATGTTTGTATTTTCAGCGGATTTGAAGGTGACACAGAGAAGCTTTAACTTTGGGAAGAAGCAAGGAATCCCATTTTACTTTGTATCTGCGGCTGATGGGACGAATGTAGTTAAGGTTTGCACTTCTTATTCTCTTCCAGTGTTCATGTCAGTCATCCCCAGGGTCTTTTTTTTAATGCATTTCAATCACATCAGCAGTTTTACAGTTAACTGTTTGTCTTGATACCACACCTTTTATGAAGTGCCCATACAGTTGAACCCATTTGTGTTATTTTTTCTGACTGTAACTGCCCCAACAGATGTTCAGAGAGATGATCACGAGAGCAGTGGAGTACAAGCAAAACCCAAGCGACTTCATGGATGAAGTGTTGCAGGAATTAGAGGTACACCCCTTTATGAATACCTAACTGAAAATATGTAAATTGCAAGAATTGACAATGCAGTGTGCTCTAAAAAAACAAACATTAGTGTAAAATCTGCTGTTTTAATTCTCACATGTTCTTATTCCAAACCTATTTGTGAGCTCCAACAAAACTTTTTTTTTTTAACTACTTTTTAGTTTGTCTGAAAACACTTTCATATTGATGTCATGTCATTTGCTGCACTTTTCTTATAGAACTTTGACCTGGAGGAGAAAGAAGATCCCGAAGCAGATGAGGTTGGATTGAAAACAGAAAGTCCTGAGTTGGAGTGACCAACGTTTACAGATCCTCCTAAACCTCTAGCCACTACTGGCACATTGTTTGTCCTTATGTCACATTCGTTGTCTACTTCTATACCTAAGTTTTCTAACTCTATCACTGGAGGTTGGAGTTTTTAAGTCAGGTTTTCAGTCACTGCTCTCCATCTGTCCAGTGACATTGGCAGGGAAATAAACCTGGTGGAATAATTAGGAATTGTGTTGTTTACCAAGTTTATTCAGCTGCTGTTTTAAACTTGTCATTCATACTTTGTATCCACTACAATACTAATGAATAATTCTACAATGAGGCTGAATGTATTTTAATTTGTAATAAGAATGTGAAGCATTGGAAACTGTCTCACAGATCAAAGAGAACGTGTGATTATGATTCAGATTTGCTGCTGTTCTCGATGTGTGTGTGTTTCGTTGTGTGCAGTGCCAGCAGTGAGCAGCCTCAGATGGCTGCTTTTGTTGCATTAGTTTTAGGATGTAAAGTCTTTTACATGAAAACGTAATGTACCATGTAACCCAATTGTTATCATGTGTCTCTTTCTGACTTGCTGTGGTCCAGAAGTGGGCATTAAGTCGTGAATTTCAGCATATTATAAAATGCAACAGCCAGCCGTACGTGAGTAAACAGCAGCTGCATTCATCTCTCGTGAAATGCTCAGCCAGCTGTGTCCTTTCTGATGGATTTGTGAAGGCTGTGTTTACACTCATTCATATTAGCAGGAATGTTACCACAGAGCACATAAAACACATTTTTCTTGCAGAATCTGACCCTCAATATGTTCAATTATTTCTATATGCTGTACAAAGGAATCATGTCTATATATTTTGTATTGATATTTGACTGTGGCATAATAAATCAAACTGGCGTATACTTGTACTACAACGACACTGAATTAAGCAGGAACAAAAACTTTGATGCAGTTCATGTTTCAATTATAAATTTATTACATAATATAACAAACATATATCTCTGTGGTGGAGATATCCTGGGCAACATCTCAGATCTTGCCTCAACCTTCACTATCACCCTTATCTGTTTGGATGAGGAACACTAGGTAGCTTCTGGTTCACTTTTATTTCGCTTTCAGGTATTAAAATGGAGAGGGGATTTCTAATGCTTAGAAGTGTCTGGAGGTCGCTCGGAGAAAGGTTTGCCTGCTCATCGGACGCTGAAAGGGGAAGTTCACCTGTGAGACAAGGCTGAGGCGTTGCAGTGATACATCCACCATTCTAAACTTCACAGTGCAAACAAGGAGAAAACCAACAATGAAAGAAAAACCCCTCTGACGATAAGATCACTGGTTCCAGCGGGTGACCGGACCCCAGCGGGTTTTTTAAAAGGTTACACTGCTCCCCCTACACTATTTAGATTGTGCTTTGTTGATTAGAAAACAAGACAAAGATAACCTTTCACTGAACTTATTTCACCTTTTCATGTGTAAGTCTGTTACACGTTGCATTTGCGGTGCACTTCCACTACCATCTGACCGGGTCTTCATTACAGTTTCTTGTGACCAGGCCAGCTTGTGTGCGTCCAGACTGTACACATTCACCTTTCAAGTGTTTCTCTTTATATGGGAACAGTACGGCAAACTGGATAATAAGCTGTCACAGTAAAATCAATTGTGATACTTTGTCTCAAAATGTAAATAGAAATGTTAATGCAAAGCTCACAGGTAGATATACACAGGCTATTATATATATGTATATATGTATATTAATATAAACAATAGCCTGCTTCTTTACAAAATAATAACAGTGACTGTATTTCCACCTGTACTAAATACAGAAGGAGCTAACAAATGTCTGTAGTTCTCAAGATTTCCAGGAGATGGCACCATATTATTGAGTCTAACAGCTCAAGAATGCTGTAACTATAGATAGTCCTAAAGCAAAGACAAATATACAGTTGAAAGTTATTTTTTGGCACATTTTTCCTTTGTGTTTGTTCCTCACTGGATCACCTCATATCCAAAACTCAGAAACTGAAGGTCTGAAAAAGGAAAAAGGAGAGCTGCCGGACAGAGTGGAGGGTAAGGAGCGCAGACGCCATCTGGGAAGGGGTGTACGAAACAGTGACACTGCATAAACTGTACCTACAGTCACAGGGGGACTTAAAGTCGTCTTGCAATACAAAATGTCTCGATGGTTTCCTTCCAAGCCCTGTGGTAATCTGTCCGTCTGTCCATCCGTCTGTCTGTCTCTCCCTATTGGCAGAGCAGTCCACTTTCTGAAAACTTCACTCAGTACAACACAAGAATGCAGAACAATGAGGGTCAATCTGTAGAAGATGAATGTATGTGTGTATTTCTATATGTGTGTGCGTGTGTGTGTGTTGTTTATGTGCGTGTTTGTGTGACACAGCCACTGCCGGGAATCTCTGATGGTAATACAGTAAGGCTAAAGTGGACTATAGCTCCAAAGATGTAAACCCTAACAATCATCCGTACACTCTCACAGGCATCCTCATCAACGTCTCTCTCAAACAAATTCACACACAAATGGAAACAAACATTCGCGCACACAGTCGTACACACATGGTGGAGAGGAACAACCACACAGAGTTTCAGGGAATCCAGATGCACGCATGCACTTGGACGATGGGTGGCTTTTATGTTAGCACCTTGTCACCTTGTTTTGTGCAAATCATCCCCTAGTTCATAGTTCAGAGTTCAAAAGTTTTAAGAGTTCATAGAAAGAATAAAATCTGCTCACCTTTTCCACAGGTGGTTAACTATGCATATATGCCAAACATTCATATATAGATCTATATACTTTTGTTTTTCAAAAATTTATATGAAATCTATCATATATACATTGCTTGTGAGTTAAAAAAAAAGACATTTTTTGTTCATTTTTACAAGTGTAAGTATGTTTAGAATGGACAGGATATTCGTTTTTTCTGTCTTTTTTCTGTCACTCTAAAATTCTAATGAGTGAAAGATTAAAGTATCATGTTCCATACGCTACAAAATCTACCCACAGTGTCCGAGGGTAAGAAATCATCAAAGAAAGAAAAATAAATTAGAAAAATAACAATTAACACAAAAAGTCCAAATGAGTCAGAGGACATAGTGTAACACCGGAGTACAAATAATCAGTGAGGTCACAGTGAGGCAGTGAGTGCTATTCCTACAACCCAGGTACAACATTATATTCACCACCCGTTTTACAAACTGATAAACAGCAGGAAATGAAAGAGACAAAAGAAGAAAAAAGATGCACACGACTTCTTGCCAAGTGAAAGTGCCTTGGCGCGCTCACTGGATGCTGCTGATGCACGGAGGTCTCTCACCTGGCCGCCTAAAGCTATGGATAAAATGCTTTTTGTTGCTTGAATAAAACTCACTGTTTCTCACTGCCAGCAGAAGCTACAATGAGTACAATTGTAGATTTTGTATTGTTAAAGAAAAATTCATTGGTCTTTTTTACAACCTGGGTCTTATTTGTAGAGTTGTTGCTGCCACGGTTTATGATAATACTTTACTCACTTGCGGAGATAGAGGAAAGCAGCAATGTTGCAAGACACTGTCAGGTTGTAAAATGCTGAATTTTCTTTAAGACCTTACAGAGGCATCCCCATCCACACAGCCTGATCAACTACACACACATTCCTGCGCTGGCCTTTCAGAAGGTCACACACTATGTCTAGCTCATTAAGCCACACGTTGTTAGTTATATTCCGGGTAACAGTTGGTTTTAAGTAAGAGATTACCTTTATTTGAACACTTTAAGCTTAATTTAGCCAGGTTCACATGCTTGGTTTCCTGTTAGTTTCCTTCTTAAAATCTGAAAGAGATTTCCTCTCTTCTGGTGATGAGAAACATCCCAGAGTTTCCTTCCTCCACGTGTGTATAGTAGACCATGTGCAGCCTGCTCTGAAGGCATCATCAGGGGTCAACAGGGATGGAAATTTTAACGCAGTCTAACATTTTTCAGACTGTGGTGGTGTTAAATTGTCCTCACAGGTAGAATTAAATGGGTATTATTAAAACAACAGCTGACAATCTCTCCATGCTAGTGCCCCAAACTTCCATCCCTGAGTGATAAACGGGCAAAACATGAAGAGCCCCTTTTACCAGTTAGCTGTCTCATAAGATGGTCCAAAGCAGGATCTGAATAGGCTCAGTGGGGTCTGTAGCTGAAGCCGTAGGGATGGGTGGCCCCTGGGGGTCTCAGCCTCACATTACGGGATGCCCTTTAGTATGAAGGAAGACCGTAAGAAAATAAAAACAAACATCAAACTCTTTGTCCAAGACATGATGCAACTCGTCATGCTACGGTTCAAGAAAGGGTGACCATAAGGAAAGTTGTAGACCTATGACAAAAAATTCATTTCCATATCTATATACTTTTTTTTAAAATTTCAAATATATATTTTTATATTTATATATATGTATATAATTGGTAGAAATGAGTAAGCTACCGGTGGAATACGTTTTAAGGTTTCTCTCTGCCTTCTATACTAAAAAACAAAAACAGGCGCAGATTAATTTATTACATTACCTCTTTGCAACATTGTCTTTTCTTTTGAAAGCTATATTTAGATACATATATATCATATTATGTAATACCTATATATATATTTATATAATATTCCCTTTGGAAAACCAAAAAATTGATTATGAAAAAAGCCACGAGTGTTGGTTAAACATTCTCCAAATATAATAGATAACACAGTACCAAGGCGGAGGGGTGTTCTCCCGTGGTTTACTGGGTGGAGCTCCACCTCTGGGCTCCAAAGTCTTCGGTTTAAAAACAACAGTAGGTGTAGAGAAGACGCACCGTGTCATGTTCATTGTCCTCTGTTCATCATTGTTGATCTCTGTATAAATATTTTTGAAAGGCAACTGAGCTTTCTGTTGGGAACACAATTCTTCCTCCTCTTTTACTCAAACTGCAGAAGTCTCTCAGAGGCCTAATAGACGGGGGGATAGAGGTAGAGAAGAGAAGGGAATAGTGAGAGAAAGTGTGGGTGTTACTGAGGGACCAACTGAAGCTTTCACAAATCAAATGTTTTAATTGGAGCTCATGCGATTCTCCTCGGCAAAAACAAAGTCCAGAGTTTATTTTGAGGTCTGATCTAATTGGCTGCAGGCAAAGAGGCGGGCAGACACTATGGCAAGTAGAGGGTGACGAATGACTCCTCCTCTTCAGTGCAGTGCCAAGTGCAGGGTGTTAATGCAGACAGGAACATAACGGTGTCGCTAAGGTAAACTTTTGTGATGCAGAACATAAAAGCAGCCAGAATAAAAGAGGAGTGATCCCTATCTTTTCTCTTTCATCAACTCTATCCGTTCTACCTCTCTCTCCATCTGTTGCAGGGTCTCAGGGCAGGGGTCAGCTCTCCAGCAGCATCTTTAGCGCCCGTTCGATGTTCATGCGGTGTCCCACTCTCGTCACTCCCAGCTCTGCAAAGTCATCCTTGGTCAGAGCTGGGAGGTGAGAGCCTTCGATCTCGTGTTCCTGAAACCCTGCTCTGTGCTCCCCCAGATTGATGCTCTCCAGCCAGTCTCCAACGTCATACTTATTCCAGAGGTGGAGGGGTTTCTGGTGAAAGGGCCGGAGGGCTAAAAGTGGTGACCCTAGCCCGGGAGAATGGGAGGGGGACGGGGACGGGGAGCGAGAGCGGGAATGGGAATGGGCGCTGGAGCTCCTCATCACAAAGCGGACCTCTTTAGGCTCCTGGGGTAGGCTGAGGCTGGAGGATTTGAGGATGGTTTGTGGGGGTGTAGTCGGTGAGGTCGGTAGGCCGAAGCCTGAGTATCGTCCGAATGGGTCACCCCGATCAGGGGAGCCTGAACCGGGGCTGCGTCGGGTGACAGGGTAACGGCTGCCAGGGCGGATGGTGAAGGTGGTGCCATAACTTCTCTGAGAAATGGTGTGGAGCTCGCCTAGGCTGCTGAAAAGTCTTGAGACAGACAGACACAGGGTGTAAGGATGTTAACAGAGGAGATGAAGATTAACAAACTGAAAGTAAAGAAGAAGAAGAAAAAGGAGACATAGCTTTGGTTATATGTATTACCCGCTGTAAGTTCCTCTAAAGTATGAGTTAGTGTAAGCTTCAGGACTGTTAGACAAACCAAGCTAGTCTCACAGCACAGCATTGTAAAGCAGCACACTGCTCTCACTGGTAATGAGAACATTCACAGCTTTGAAAAAAAGATCTATTTACTACTCAATCGTAAATAAGTCACAAAGGACCTTTATGTCAAGTTATATATTCATTTTGTATGGGAATATATGGCATTTATTAAGAAAAAAGATGGCACTATATTTTCCCTCTCACCCACCCTACATCGTCCATCTGACCGTTACTGCAAGCCTTTTTGCTTGAACGTAATCAAAAGGTGTTTCCTGTTAAGGCAGACAATATGCTTCTCTGAAGGAATCACTGTGACCCACAAGCAGAAAGATGCAGATTTAGTGTTTTACGTGGAAACTGCAGAAGGCACTAACCTGAAGCACTGGAAATATGAGCACACACGCACAAACAGACACATACACACGCCTACATTTGAACAAAGTTGGCAGTTGCACAAACAGTACATTTGCTTTTTTTAAACTTTCATGAGACAAAGTTGTTAAAGCAAACAGAGCTGATGTGTCACATCTGTTAAAGGACACGTGAATGTACACAAAGCAGCATATTTTCCCAAAGCTTAGCATTGTTTAATGCAACACATACTTATTAACTCTGACTGCAGCGACACTTCATTCAATGCCATTTGTCAAACATTTCGGGGGAATCTCCACGATCCACCAAACCAGCCTTATCCATACCATCTATTCTGAAACAACAGCATCTTGCTCAATGTACCTTTTACCCCTGACCCTCTTCTGAAGAAATAATAGTATAAAGATGTGAAACAGTGTCATAGTGGCTGATTAGTATACTACAGGTCTAATGGAGGAAAAGATGGTCAGTAAGGAGAAGAGGGGTGGATGAAGGCCAATGTGAACGTTTTGTCTGGCTTGGTGCAAGCAGGGAGAAGCAGAAAGAAGAGGCCTACATGTGTAAGAGTTGGTGCAATGATGTGTGTTTGATGCATGCATGTTAGCGAGTGTCTTATGTACAGGTGTGGCCAATGATTTCCCTCCATTGCATGTGTTTGGAAACTTTGATGTGGACTAAAGAGTGTAATGGAATGTAGCTAGACAGCGCAAGGGCTGGAAAAATGATCAGACTACAGGTAGCCGACGGATATGAGATGAGCTCCATGCGCACTTACACAGTCGTCCCGCCCTCCTGGGCGCACAGTCAGTTCTAGACCAATCAGATCAGAGCAGCAGGGCGGAGCATGCAAGGTGAGCAGAGAGAGAGCAATGGGAGAGAATGTTAGCATCACTCCATGAGACGCAGCCTGCCAACCAGACGTTTAGTCTGCTTCAGCCCACTCTGCTTTCTTTCACACGCCCTGTGTGCATGTGGCTGTATGAGTGTTGCAGTGAATACATGTATGTGTGTGTGCATGTGATGGTGTTATTGATGTATGAGCATGACAAAGACAGCAGAGTAGGCTTTTGCACTGAGAGGTCTGACCAGTGGGCTGCATGAGAGAGAAATGAGCACACTATTCACATATCAAACACTGCACAAAAAAAGGAAAACAAACCAACAAATAAAAGGCTGGCACATGTTCCTTGACTTTTGTTGTTCCTTGATGTAGTCCACATATTTTAACAATTACAAAAACACACATAAATACATGTGTTGTGCAATTTCAAATGTCTACTTACATGTGAGTTTTTAAGGGTTTTGGGATTTTAATCAAGGAATGCAAATCACAAATAAAATGGTATATGTATTCTATTGTGTTTTACTTTGAAAAACCTACAATGTCCAAAAAGCAAGACATTCAGGGACCATGGCCATCCTCAACACAATCACTGAAACACAAAACAAAGTTATGCAAATTACATTAACAGAGAAGAACAGAAAACCAAAGATCACAAATGAAATAAAATGAGAACCACAGGTTTCTAAACCACCCAAAGCTATGATACACAGCATGTGAACGAGGTGGATACAACAGAGACACAATACAGCAGCATGGGGGGTTTGAAGGGGTTTAAATGGGCACAAAGTGGATTGGGTAAGTGATGGAGTAATATTACATAACGGTGCTGGGGGGTGAGGGGAACAAACTCAGAGGAGAAGAGAAAGAGAGAGAGAAATAATGGTGTGCATGATCATCTTTGTCACAGCTGAAGGCAATCAGCTGTGGTGCCGATGTGGTGGGGATAAATGTGATTGCATAATCTCACGGGAGGATATGCCAAGTCATTGTTGAGTCACATGATGCGCTGTATTTGATATCCCGGTCACCTGTTCCTTCCAGGGATCATGATGTTTTAATTTAGAGGCACTGTCAACTTATTTGGCAAAAGACTATATTACTAATACTAGTAATAGTAATATAGTGGTAAGGGAGGGTAAAACTGATACAGGACAAATACTCCCAGCCCTATACTCATCAATGATCAAAAGTACTTCCTTTGTTGTAGCCATGTCACAAATGCAGTTGACAGCTCGATATGAAGGACAGCTGATGAAGTTAGACGGCTCCTTATAACAATGTAACACGAGGAGAAGGCTGCGAAAGAGTTTTAACATCTTCAAATATTCTTTTTTTTCTAAAACTGGAGTGAAGAAAAAGTGGACATGAGAGAAATATTTTCGACCGTCCTAACTTATATGAACTGGAATAAGGACAAAAGATGAAAGGAAAGGAGCAGGGCTGGAAAAAAATGCACTGCATCTGGAGAGTGCCCTACAAACTCCTGAGATATTTGAAAGCTACGATGGTAAATCAAAATGTAGCCAAATCCTGAGCAGAACAAAAGAGACGTGCATCTGAAAGTTACTCCCTGTGGTACCTATGAACTTTTGACAAGGTCAGGACATTGTTGGGTAGTCGTCAACAATAACACGGCTGTTAATGCCATGACGGGATCATGACGGGATGGTTACACTGTGACACACCATTATAGTTCAGTCTTGGTCAAATACTTCTGAAAATACATCCTTAACTCTTTGAGGTTATCACTAATGTTACTGGACGAGGGGCTGATGATAAGAAGGAAACTCTATTTCTTAATCTTATCAAAAGTATATCAGTGATATATATAAGGATGTATTATGTATTTTTTGATCAAGGACTCTGGGAAAAGCTTGAGGAATAGCAGGAAGGGTAGCTACTAGCAGATGCAAAGGTTAGAACCCAACAGAGTGTGTGTGAGATGAGGAGAGACTTTCAGGAAGTGCATGCCTCCTCCAAGCCTTGTTACCTTGTTTGCACCCAGAGATAATCTACTTCTTCTAAACTACTACTATCACACCCACCCACACACCCACNNCACACACACACACACACACACACACACACACACACACACACACACACACACACACACACACACACACACACACACACAAACACTTACACTCAAAAACACACACAGAAACACTACTATATACTTACTGACTAGTGTTTGTATTTAACAGACAAGATCATTTATCAGAAGGCCAAGGAGTAAAACTGTAACTATAGAAACAAGAAGCAATTTAGACCCAAAGGCGGAGGCATCGATTGCAGTAATGAAGATCTCTAGAACCAATGCCTTGGAAAAACAGAACTATATCCAAATCTTTTATATTCCTAGTATAAAGATGTATAAATGTAGGTGATGCAAACAAGGTAACAAAATATAAAAAACAAAATTCATACAATAAAATGAGTAAGAGGCTTGTTATCTTAAATGGGATTAGTTGATAGGCTTGTTCGGAAAAAATATGTATAAAAAAGCTCAAGTTTACCCTAGTAGCTATAACCTTAAGGTTTACTCTCTTCGGTGTCCTCACACCTGCAGGAATATAAAGGTCTTAATTGTACCTTCAGGTATGGTGTGAAAACAGGAAACCCACAGATAACAGACACCAACAGCACTGTGCTTCAGATGCTTCAAAGACCTAACCTAGTGTCACTGTGTGAGAAGCACGTTTGTATATGCCTCTTTACTATGCTTTATATTTGCTTTTAATTGATATTAGAACAGAATGTATGACCCATAGAAAGGTACAGCACGCACTGTATTAATAACGTTTTTACATGAACAGTTTAAGGGTAGCTAATGCCAGCAATGCTGGTGACCTCTGATCTCATTTCAGCATCATATAGCAGTGGACTGGTCTTTATATGGATAGTTTGCATGTTTCAAATTGTAAGTAAGACCCTATTATGCCTACAAATAGAACAGCCGCTGTCTTTGACTCAGCCTCTAGGTGTCCCTTTTTAGAGAGAAATGCAATCAGACTTAACCCAAAATAGACAACCAAGTGTTGTAGTTGTCCATAAAGTATATTTTCTCTAAATAAAGAGCTAAATAAATGTTGATAAACAGGAGAAAATAATATAAACTCAGTGTGTGCCATGTAGACTATTTAATATTATTTAGACTCATTTACGGTAATAATTCAAATCATGCTGGGCAGGGGAATTGCTTGAGATTGCTCACTCTCTCTGTCTCTGCCACCACGATAAACGATATAAATACTCTTGAAACCATTGCTTTAAAAGGAACCATTTGTTTTGTGGCTCAGTGTGAAATCAGTCATTTTTGCCGTACATTTTCCACATTTCTCTCTTACCTGGCACCTGCCACAGGTGACTTTCTCCCCGGGTCAAGTGATGCTCCCAGCGGCTCCTCTCCCAGTGACCTAGTGTCTTTATTTAGCTGCTGTAGTCGTGAACTGAGCTCTCCCATAACAGAAGGTTTTGCTCCATCATCTACACCAAGTCCCAGCCCGCCTAGATTTCCCAAACTCCCAATACCTAGCCCCACCCCTGGCCCACGAGGCTCCACTGGGTCCCCCCACAGCTTGGACCTCCGCTGGAAGAGGTAGCGCGGCTTGGTGGGGCCGAGTCCTGTCACTGAGGCCGAGCCGCCGAAGGGCAGCCCAGCTCCGCCTGCAGCAGCAGTAGCCAGGGCAGCAGCCTGTTGTTGTGAGAGCAGCTCGCTGTCGGAGCTCTGCTTCAGCAGAGGGTCCCTGAAGGTGACGGGGCCTTTACTGCCTCCTATCTGGGACCTGAGTCGGGGCTTAGGAGGCACTGGCGGCTTGTCGAGCACAAAAGTCAGCCCTTCGGCGTAGGAGGTGTGCGTGGTGTGTGTGTCTGCAGGCTCGCCGCTCTCTGAGGACAGGGTGGACATGCTGGAAACTGTGGAGATAGTGCTGGTGGTCTCGAGATGGTGGTCTCGCTCTCTGTCACTGGAGCTGCGCGTGTCGGCCTCCTCCACACCTGAGTCAGCCGCAGAGCCGGACTCACCCACCGGTGGGGGCTCCAGAGGGTCAGAGGGCTTCCCTGAGACAGCTGCTGCACTGGGTGGAGGTGCCAGCTGGGGAGGCTGAGGCTGGGTGGGCGTCACAGTTGGAGTTTTTGGGGATGACGGAGTTTGGGGTGTTGGTGTTGTAGGGGTGGTGGGAGACGAGGCAGGTAGAGTTGGCGTCCCCTGTGCCTGCATGCCATTAGCGAACTCATCGGGTGGTGGAAGAACTCCAATGTGACGAAGCTCTTCTCTTGTTTCCTCATCGCTGGAGGACAACATTGCAGGAGGCAGAGTCACGGTGTAAGGGTCCACGTCCTCCTCGGAGCTGCCCTGAGCCAGACTCTTGTCCTGCGCTGGACTGGCGGGACGCTGAGTGTGAGGCTGGGCCTGGAGCTGGGCCTGGGGCTGCGAGGCAGAGGGGCTAGGGGATTTTGCCCTTGGACTTAGAGACTTGCTGGGCTCTGTGGACGCGGGGGCAGGTGTCTGTTCTAGGTGTGGATCTACCCCGACTGACTGGCCGTTACTGGTAGCATGGACCATAATAAGCCCTGCTGTTTTCTGCTGTGACGTGTCCATAATACTGATCAACATACTCTTTTTATCCTCAAGTCTCTTCTCCTCCTTCCTCTCCTCTACTCTGGCCTCCATCTCCTGCCGGAAAGATACCGGTGACTGTGATGTGACCCACTGTGGTTTGGTGGGCTGGGGAACTAAAATAGATGTCGGGGAGGAAACAACTCCATACCCCCCTGCCTTGGCGCTTTTAGGTGAAAAAGGGGGAGTTGTGGTAGCCCCTTCCCCATGTGGAGACTCTTTGGTCTGAGGGTCCATGAACAACACGCCATGGCCTGCTCGATCCTGTTTAGTCCTCGGCTCAGGGCTGCCCGTCGGGCTCTGGGAGGTCAGTGCTCTCTCCCTTGCGGCCAGCGCAAGAGCCAGTGGAGAGTTAGGGTCCAGGGGTTTTCCTGTGAGCGGATGGATAAAGGTGGTCCCACTAGGTGAGGGGCTCAGAGCCAAGGCAGGGGGAGGCAGCTGTCCCAGCTCTCGGGTGAGCATCCGTTCATCGATGGAGTGAGACTGAGTAAGAGAGGGGGAGTCGGAGCTGGCTAAGGACGCCCCCTCCATAGTCCCAACGGAAAGGAAGACAGTGGATTTTCTCCGTTCTTCTAGACGACGCTCACGATCTTTCACTGCTCCAGCTATAGCAGCGGCGAAGGGACCCTTCCCCTGAAACATCATCTCTCCCTGGGCACGCAGACGCTCTCGCTCAGCCATCAGCTGCTGCTGGTAGTAGTCTGCACGGCTGGTGTGTGTGTGTCCATGGGTGTGTGAGTGTCGTCCTGAGGGAGAGCTTTCTCGGGAGTGTGCAGCAGCTAAGGCCAAACTGGCTTTTTCTTGTGCATCTTCCACCTGCAGTAAGGCAAAAATAAAAAAACATCATGTTAGAAAGTCTTCGTAACTTATGTATAAAACTAGCAGATGACCATCCTGGAAATGTCCCCTACCTGTAGCTGTTTCACCAGTGGACTTTTCTTCCTCTGGGGCTTGGTGGGTGTGAACAGTCCAATACTGAATTGACCCACATTGGCATAAGGGTTGTCAATAACCCGACCCTTCCTTTTGATTCGCTCAGGTGGAGTAGCAGCAGAAGGACGGGGGATTTCTGTCGGTTCTACAGGTAGATGTGAAGAGTCCTGAAGGATGATCATGGAGCGCGCTTTCTTCTGTCTCTCTAAGTGTGTGGCCTGTCGCTGAGCGGCCTCGTACGGCAGATCCAAGGATGAAGGCTTGAAGCTGGAGCGTCCTCCAGGCTCATGACCCTGACTGTGGGTCCTAGATGGGGGAGGAGGGGGACAAAAGGCTGGGGGAGGACCAGTGTCCAGGTAATAGGGAGGAGGAGGAGGTGCAGTTTGTGGAGGTGGAGGGATGGGATGGGGCTGAGAGTGTTCTCGGAGGCTGTCTGTCATAGAGGAACTGCGGGGAAACCTGTGTTCGGCTGCAAGGGCCGACAGCCGATCCTCCTCAGTGGCACCTGGTGAGGGAGAGGAGAGCACAGATCTTCTCAGGAAATACGACCATTTTAAACCAACCTAGCAGGTCCACAGCTGCTTCCTGACAAATTCACTGCATTGCATCCATCTGAAAATATGTTCTCACATATTTATAATGTATTCGTTGTCTCAAAGACAGCTATACAATATAAGGGTTCAACTCCCAGAACAGACTTAGTGTGGAGTGTAGGCTGAAACACAGACAGCACAACATCTGTAGACAAAATGGAGCATATTTATTTTTTCAGAGATGAGAAGAAGAGCCCTCCCTAATATGTAAAACGTATAACTTACTATTTTTGATTTATTTGGCAATTAACTAATTGAATAGTCCTTCAATTAATGTACTAGAGAACAGGGAAAATGCTTAAATAATAAATAACGTATTAATGAAATAGGCTTTGCACTTAAAATCTGCTCTGCAAATTTGTGTCTGTGAATATCTAAGCACATTCTGAACATGCAATGCATTGTAATTAAGTATTTACAACCATGTTAGCATTTGTTAAGCTAAATTAAAACTGCCTACATGCTTTTCTTTCTGGGTGAAGTATGCAATTTTATGGGAAAATAGATCTTCCCTATCTTATATCCTTTATGCCAATTTAAACCTGTAAGCATACTGCACATAAGATGCACTATCATTCACCTTATTTGAATATGTACAGGATGGGTGATTGTTTTACCAAAAGACTTGGTCCTGGACATCCCCTTGGGTAGCGGTATGTGACCCCTCTCAATGCCGGGGTGCAGACCTCCATGTAGAGTCATCCCTTGTCTCTCAAACAGTGACTGCAGTTAAGAAACAGATATTTAATGCCTCTAAAAGGCTGTGTAGCACATGTGTTTTTGAGTAAATTATACATGAGCCTTAATTCATATGTATGCCAATATTGTGGCATATGCTGTCTGCCAGTGTGCTTTGTGTAGGTGCACTCACACTGATCTCTGCTGGTGTAATTCTCCTGCTGGTAGGCCTTTGTTTGACAGTAGCTGCTCTGTAATCTGCCTCTGAGGGCTGAGAACGCAAGATAGACTCCTGTGATGCCAACATCTCATCTAGTCTCTCTGTTGAGAAGCAAATGAGGCAGAACTAAATGCTGAGACATAAGACTGTGGAAATATTGTGTCATCAATTCTGACATTGCAAACACAGTAGAGAATATAAAGTGTGATTAAAAAGGCATCTCCAAAATGTTGCTATGAACTACAAAGTGAGGTCATGCTCCATGTCTATGGTATTAAATCACTGCTCCATCCCAAATTAAAAGTTCAATGTGTTAGACCACTAGGGAGTGAGTTCTACGAATTAAAAGAGATAGAGAAAGAGGAAATCAGAAAAGAAGGGGAGAAAGAGAGTCCACATGTTGCAAGTGTTCTGCTCTTCAGCTCTAAATCAACACTGCTGTAATTGACACAGCAGTGAGGAATTATCTTTATGACTTTCAGAGAGGTGTCAATTCAGACTCACCTCCTCTTCTCCTTCGAGCAGAAGCTTGGTGGGAAAAAGATAGCGTCAGCAGAGGAGGGAAAGAACAAGCCAACACAAGTGACTATTCAAAAAGTCAGGAGACACACCGAGCTTATTAACAAAAGGGAAAGTAGAAATGTGACAGAAAAAGGAAGTCTAGGGTTTGGAGTTGGCATGCCAGCTTTCTCACCCAGTTCTTCCAGCTCAGCGGTCATGGACTTAGAGCGCAGCGTCAGGGTGGTGCTGGGGGCTCTCTTGGGTGGCGGGGGAGCTGTGGAGAAAAGGCATGGTGTTGAGGATGAAGTTGAAGGGGAAGAAGATCCTTTGGATTTGCGGCTCAGTGCCCTCCTGGCATCTCCCAGACGGCTAGCCCATCCCGTCTTCACTGATTTGATCTGGTTAAATTCAGATGAACTGGACGGCCCCCATTTAACGACGACCTTGTTCGGGTTACATTTGGATCCCGACTTCTTCATGCTTTGCTCTCTGTTGATCCGATGGCTTATGAATGTTTCAGTCTGTCTCCAAGACTTTCAGTATTCTAGTCTTTGTGCTGCAAGAATCCCTCTCTGTTGGGGAGCCCAGAGGCAGTACATGTACAACTGAGTCCAGTCTGAAACAGCCCTAGCTTTCTGAATCCTCCCATTAGAAAGAGAACAACAGAGTATGTACGCCACAATAGGCAGAAAGAGTAAAATAAGTGTGGCAAGGGGAGGGAGAAAGTCGTCCATCTTACTTTTAATATGCTGCCTGTCTGAAATGTTGCAGGAGAGTATCAGACAGAAATGCGAAGACACACACATGCATATCCTCCCACACGCGGGACCACTTGCAGATACACTGAGAAAACTCCCTGAGGGAGGACATGATGACATGTGGGCAAGAGATTACAGTCAATTCAAAAGCTAAAGAAACTGATGCGCTGCAGTCTTTATAGCCCAAATCCCATGGGAGCACCCGAAACCTTCTAAACTCATAAGGCGGCTGGGCTGGTATCATCCCACTGAAAAAACACATCTAACAAATATCAGCTCCAAATACAACGGACAGAGGTACAGATTTCAATAAAAGGCTTTAAAATCAAGTTACAATGAACACTGTAATTAACCAAATCAAAAAGAATGTGGTCATGTATTGAAGCATGTTAAATCTGCAGTAACGACGTAATGCCATGCAGTCGGACACAGAACATGAAGCCACACACAGCAGCAGCCTATACATGCTATAACAAACCCAAGTTTCCTGTCAACACCCCAGACAGAACTAGATCAGCTCACTCTATCCGAGATCGCCCGGCTCACACTTGCATGCACTACTGTAGAGCAAACGATCTCTATATCCAAACGAATGCCTTGTGTCCCACTCGAGCCTAACTATCCTGCTGTCGTCAGCAGCTGCAGATCTAGTGAACATACGCCATCCTGGGTACAGTCCGTATCAAACATCTTCTTTCGTCACCCGTCTGCACGCTCTGGTACAGTAGCAGGGAGCAGAGGAGATGGAGGAGGACGGAGAAAGAGAAACAGAGTCAGAGGGAGAGAGAGATGCTTCTGCAGGAATGTAATGCTTAATTCAAACATGCAGTGTAGTCACCATGGCAACGGTGGCAGTAGTGAGGCCTCGCATGGTGCAGAGACTGTGTTTTGTATTGAGTGTTTGCCTGCGAGTTTCTGTGTGTGAGAGCATGCCTCTTGCATTTTTTAAAAGGTGCAGCACAATATGCAGAGTCCCGATGGACAGCAGTGCGGCTGGAGAGGGTGTTCAGAACTCCTTAGGATGATCAAATAAGAAATCTTTGAGGAAAAGTTTGAAACAGGAGGGAAGGCTCTCCTCTCTGAAAGAATACATATGCTCCATTTTGTCTACAGCTGTAGTTCTATCTGTGTTTCAGCCTACAATACGTACTGTACTAAGTCTGTTCTGGGAGTTGAACCCTCTGCCTGCAAGCCAAGTCCCTTTGGACTGAGTTACTGACGCCAATAATGCTAGTCCACATGAATGCATATTTTCATGTAATTCTAATAATCCACAAAGCCTGAATATTTTGCACGCAAAACAATGTACAGTATATGAAGATGATTTTGGTAAATATTTTCTTGCTTATGGTAAAATGAGAGAATCATTATTTATTTAGTTAAATTCAGAATAAGGACTGGAATAAAGTGTAAAACAGTATGAAAATCTGGCTAAAAGCAGCTTTAAAGCTCATTGGTTAACATCATCGATTGTTCCATCCATACAAATACCTGTAAAATGAAAATTCTCCCATATATGTGGAAGATTATTTCATGGTCAGTGGTAGTGAACACCCAGAGTCTCCGACGATTGACTGGTAACCTCTAAGCACCAAGAAATAGTTCGACACATAACTCCCAGTAAAACTACACAATTGTATACCTTGGACTTAGTCTGGATTAAACAAACAAGATATTTTCTCAGCTCAGCTAACCAGATGCTTGCTGAAGCCTCATATCTTACAGACATACATTTGAGCTTGATTGTCTAATTGAGGCAAATTTCCCAAGATGTCCCAAAAACGTTAAACTTTAATAAATAATAAAGACTGAGTGGATTCAATCTGCTGATGGAAAGACTGTGACGTGCACTGGAAGCTCCAAAAACAGGCACTAAGTGGACATGAGAGCGCAAAAGAAGGAAAGAGAGTTTCTTGATGCTTTTTTTATCTGAATTACATACTTAAAGGTGGGGTAGGTAATTTTGGAGAAACCAGCTCGAGTACGCTAGAATTTGAAAATGCACAGCCTGAAAAAATCTGCCACTTCCTTACATAGCCCCTCCTCCAACACACACGAACGTACACATGACCAATGAGGGCACGAGATAAGTTTGTCCTCAGATGGAAGGCTGACAGGCAGGTAGGCCATCCAGTTATTTTAGCCGGGCCGGCTCAGATGATTGGTCGTGCTTTTTACAGTACTACGGCTTCCACAGATGACATTTTTTTATGGATTTATTGTCAAAGCACTTAAGATATTCATTGCTATCCGGATGTTAAGAGCATTCCATGGAATATAACAAAAAGTGTATCTCAAGCCGGTTTCTCAAACTTACCTACCCCACCTTTAAGTTTACTTATGGCGCGTTTCCACTGCAGGCCTCGCTCAGCCTCGCTCGGTTTGGTTAAGCCTTATTAGGCCCGGCTCACTTTAATGCTGCGCTTCCATTACAGTTTAGGAGCTGGGGCAGTAACTATAGTAACGCAGTGTAGGCGGAGCCGTGACATCATCTTCAATGAGCACCCGTGAGCACCCCAGAAAAAACAACATCAGCCGTTAG